CTGCCACTCACCAGGTGGTGCAGGCGAGGACAGTTGATTAGGACAGTTTGTTAACTGTCATCAAATTGATTTCAACATATGGTGAACATGTATGCATGAGAAACCTCCAAGCCACAATGTTATCTTCATGAGGAGGCCTCCACCACTGTGGCAAGCCAGCAGAGAGATGCTCAGCTTTCTCCTTTGCCATGGTGGCAGAGATCTTGTGAGGAAGCCTTCACCAGTGTGTTAAGCTGGGAGGGCCTGACTAGATGTCACCTCTCTTCTGGGGTGTCACTCAGTGCAGACCCCATTCCTTGTACCCCCTGATGCCACTGGGAAGGTATAGGATTTTGGTGAACACTTATGACATGTTTTTGGGTTAAGAATAGGCATCTGGAACTTCCTCTTTAGGTCATGCAACTAAAGGAGTGGTGAAAAAGACTTTCCTTGGGGTTGGCCTGGGGGCCAAATCATCACTAAAGTCCCATGACTTTGGAGAGAGAATTTCAGGGTGGCCTTTCAGATGCAGGTTGGCCAGGAACAACACACTTACTGGGTTCTCCTCAGGTGTTTCACTCAGAGGAAGCTGCAGAGAAGGTCTGGAGGAATACCTTTTTGAGCTACTCCCATACTAGGTTGTTCCACTCCTTTTTGCAGCTCTCAAGAGGGGTAAATAAATAAGTTAGATTTAAATAAAATCGCCCATTTTACAACTCAGCTTTCTATGTCTGGTCTCATTATTTCCTCAATTGGTCATCAAATTAAATAAATAATTTGCTCCAGTTGTATGATGTCCAAAATCAGGCACCTATGGTTATTACCCAGCTTCCATCAGGAAAGGATCAATCCTAACTACTATATATACTCATGTATAAGTCTAGAAATTTTAGTCAACAAATTGACAAAAAAACCCTGAGTTGACTTGTCCATGGGTCAATGTAAGTACTGTGCTTTAACTCTTATTTTAAAAAGAAAAAACTGCTGGGTGAAAACCAAGAATGTAATATGTCTTGGAAGCACTGACACTCCCCCCTCTTATTTTCTCAACCTTCCTGCCTTTAGTATGAGCACAGTTATGCCTACTGGAATTCTGTAAGTGCTTTTACTTTGTTTTCCTTTTCTTCATCCTTTAGATCTTTTTTTACATGCCCCTAAATTTTACCCTCGACTTATCCATGGGTCATATCAAAATCCACAATTTTGGCCCCAAAACCCATCCTCAACTTATTCATGAGGTCAACTTATAATTGGGTATATATGGTAATTTTCTCATAACAAAATGTGGGGCAGTCATTCAGGTCACAGAGAGGTAAGTACTTAGCACAGCACATAATATTTATATGAAATTTATTATTATAAGGCCTTCAGGTGATGAGCTACTTGGTTAAACTGAACTTGTGTGTACACAACATACCACTGAATGTCAAATGCTGAGGATGAATGGGGTAGTCTTTCACCTTCACCTTCAACTCTGCACAATAGTTACAGACTGGTCAAAATAAATCACAGTTAGCAAAGCAGACAAAGGATTATCTGTTAGACTTCAACCAGACAATGGGATTTGTCCAGCTAACTTGACATTTTGAAGTGTTTAGTCTTCTCTGAAAGCTTAGGCTTGTCTCTAATGGTTACATGTCATGGCTGAAAGGATGGACTGTTATGCACAGGATAAGATAAGGCTCTGACAGAGTACCCCTCACATGTTCAGCTGTGCTTAAAGAAAAATCATTTCTCAGTATTTATCCAGGTATTTTAGCTCTGGACACAATTCAGCTTCTGATATCCATATAAGAACAGTTATGCTCATTTTGAGCTTTGAGGAAAATGGTGTGTGTGTGTGTGTGTGTAAGTAAGTAACTACCAAATGCATTATGTATACCAAATTAGGATTAGCAACTTTTCTCAGAAGGGAAGTTCACCTTAGGGTTGCCATAAATAAGAAATGACTTGAAGG